TGAAGGAAGTATCTAACACTGTATTAATCCTAAGCATAAAATACATTTTAATTGAAAAAAAAAATACAACTTAAGAAAAAAATTAAATAATTAAAAAATTACCTATGAGCTAAGCAGGCTAAGTGGTTATAGGCACGAAAAGCAGCAACAAAATTAGAACCAGAATCAGTTACAAAGGCATATCTTTTCATATTAACACTTGGAGAAAGATTATACCCTCTCAATATATTAAAGACAGTTCTTCTAGTATTTTCAGCTGTATGATTGTCTTCAGGAAATTTAACAGCAGCTAGAACTTGATCTTTCAAATCCCAATTCTCAATATAATGAACAGTTAATGAAATATAACTAATTTTATTGTAATCATCCGTCCATAAATCTGTAGTAAAAGCACCACCAGTTTTTTGAAAAATGTCAGTCAATTTTCCAGCCAATGATGATTTGATTGATTCTGCTGCTTTTATTACATTTCTAGATACAGTTGTTGGGTGTGGTAACAAATTATCAATTGATATACATCCATGTACAGAACCAATATTTATCATTTCTTGTGCAAACTCACGAAACCCAGAACCGTTGATGATTTCAAATGGACGTAAATCTTTGCAAACAAACTCCATGATTTTTTTTGCTGTAGTTTCTTTAGCAATTGCTGGAACCATTTTATTTTCTATAAAAGAAGTAATTTTTGGTTGATTGTTTAATGCACGATGACATACATGGCGTTTCAAACTAGATGTTCCATCCTTATAGTTGTATTTATATATCTGATCACAATTCTTGCAAGCAACATATCCAATGTATTTATTATTTGCATCTACAATTTCAACAAACCTCAGCCAAACTTCACTTTTAACATTATTGTTATTTACACTATTTACATTTTTGTCTCTATAAAATAACTCTTCTGCCCTTAATTTAGTCAATATTTCATTTGTTGATAAGTCACTTGTCATTGTTTGAATGTTTGTAAGGAATTACTTAAAAAAAAACAAATTGACCTCTCTTACAAACAAATATTTTAATTGTGGTTATTTTTTATTCTTAAAATAAATATCTATTATTTATAATGATAAGAAATACAGATAATCTTATCTATATAAATATTCTAGACATATTTAGTAAAAACATAAAGTTAATTTGTTTTACATTAATGTTTAGTTTATTTCCTTGTTTATTCACTGATTAAAGTTTAAATTGTTACAATGTTAATATTTTTTTTCTTGTGAATAAATAATTATTCACAAAATTTCTATTTGTAATACAACTCAATCTCAAAATTATTTTATTTGAATTATTCAATTATTCATTTTATTCAAATTACTTGTTTTATTCATTTTATTTGAATAGAAAATCCTTTAACACATTATCAACCCGGGTCCAACCCGCATTCATTAATTATGTCCACCCGGACCCAACCCGCAATGCGGGTCCGGGCCAGGTTGGGTCCCATTTGCAGGCCTCTATATGTGACTCTACTTGAAATTCTCTCAGAAGTAAGTCATTAAAGATATATCTATATTAATATTTTTGAATGATGAAGTGCAGAAGTGATACCTCTGAAAAAACAAACATGTCAGCTTAGGCATTCCATTTAGTCCCACGCCAGGAAATTCCTCACCGGGGGAGGAATGTTTAAGTTGAAAGCCTATGCTTGGTTTTATGTTGATAATTTAGTATCACACAAAGTTCTATCCGCGTGATGGAGTAGCTAACCTCACAAAGAGAGAGCTTTGGTTATAATCTGACAGCGCATGCGCCCTTTGAAATATTTCAGCATTAATTTGGAATTCCAAACTAACAATTTATATCTGCACTAGTTTAAAGTCTCTTACAAAATCGTTCGTAGTTTGAAAAATATCGGAGCAGTAACAATAGATGAGGAAATCCTTAATTCAGAAGAAATCTCGGAAAATATAATTAAGTTGAAGAGAAAATTGAAAAAAGACACATCGGCGCTATCTTTGGAATTGTATAGGAGAATTGGGGAGGTCACAGTTTCAGAACTTCCTTGGAATGACCCTCTGGCAAATCAAATTATTAGTGATGATTCAGATATTATACGTCTCTTGCCAGATGAATTGCGAAATATATTTATGGTTGGTATTATAAACTCGTAAGGTCTGATTTTCCTGGGAAGATAGGATCAGCACCAGATCGAATCTCCATATTATTTCATTGAATTACTCACAAAAAGCATTACAAAACATTAATTTATTAGGAACCGCTTCAGCGTATGACGCCCTCCCTTCCATCAATAGTGCAGAGGAAATGTAATGAATTTGTGCAAAATTTTACCGATGATATTGGATTCAGATTACCACAAAAGCTTTTACACGATGGGATGTGGAAGGAAACAAATGAAGAACTTGCCAACGTTGCTGAAAGGATTCTAGATACATTGTGAGTATTCCAATCTGGATATATAAAATTATCGAGTTTTGGGAGTTCTGTTAAAAGAATATACTCATTAAATAATCTTATCATTAGGCACGATGCTTGGATAAACCCTGCATTTAGGTCCAATTTTGTAGAAAAATTAAATGAAGGTACTTATGTTACTAATATAATCTTGCCTGCAATTTGTGCCTCGTTAAAAGGTCTTCCTTTATGGAGATCTTCATTTCTTAGCAATTTTGAACGACAGAGTAGTGCCAGTGCAGATAGGAGAGGGGGTGGCCAATCAGGAAAGCGACCCGATATTATGTTCGTAATAAGACATAGGGATAAAGACTATGAATTGGTCTACACTGAATGCTCACGTTTATCGTGTACAGTGCAAAAAGAAAGTGATGATGGGGTAAAACTATGGAGAGAGGCAAACGATGGCATGTTTTGGGTCCGCAAAACTTGTAAACCTATCAAGAATGAATTTGGAATAATTGGAGTACAAATAGCGGGAAGAAAAATATATTTAAATGTTCTTATTAGGGATTTACATGATGTGCATCGCTATTACCATCTCCATGAAGCAGAAATACCAGTCCAACATTCGACTTCATCTATGGTAGCAAACTTTGTGGAATCTTTATTAATTTTACGGAATATTCTGTTAGTTAATATTAGTTTGTTATATAATGCGCCTCCATCTAATAAATCGAGTCGAAAAGAAGAAAGTAGTTCAACTGTCAGTTCCCCCTAGAAAATAGACAGTTGTTATCAAGTTGTCATATATGTATATCTGTTTATTAATAAATTAGTCGATATATTTTTTGTACACATTTTTAATATGTGTAAGACGCGGAAAAGAAACTCAATGCATTATGAAGAAAACTAATTGTCATATTTTTTTTATGTACCTGGAAAGTTGATTCGCATGTATAATTGAATTTACTCTTACATTAATGATCACCAATTTTTCTGGAAAAAATAAGCTAATTAATTATTACACATATCCGATAATTTTCCACTACATGCTGAGAATATTTGAATCGAGATTATTCGCTTTGAGATATCTACATACCTCTTCATAGTTGAATACTGCCTTTGTATCTTGCGTATTCCTATTAATTATAACTATATTTTCACCTTCTATGACGTGCATATATTTAATCAGATTCTTAAATTGTATATACTGCGTAGGATTCGTGGTAAATTTACCTTGAGTTTTACGCCTGTTATTTCTGGATTTGCAAGACATATTAATATCCTATGTATAATGATGTATTATATCAAAGTATTAGACACATTCAATTTTTTTTTCTAGCAAAGTGGAACGCATGTGATTTTAATGAAAATAAAGCATGAACATCCACATAATTCTGATTGAGACAAATGGTTACATAGAACCTTGCTTTATTGTACGAAATAAAAAATACATATCGCTATTACATAATAATAATGCGAATACAAATATAAAAAAAATCTAATTATTTATGTGTCAGAGACACTAGCTCCGCTATCCTTTGGTTTTTAATGTAATTGCAGGTGCTGGTTCCGATTCTGATACTGAGTATATGAGTACATGAATAATATTTGGATCGGGGATTCCTGAAAAATGAAATACAATATTACTATGGTTTTGCATGGTGTTGTATCCTATAGCTCTAGGAGAAAATGCACGAAGCTGGTAAGAAACATGAGTAAATACATCTAACTGACGCTGAACCATATCCAGTAATTTATTGACCCCTGATCCATTAGAAATACGAATTGTGAATTTGACTCTATCATTCGGAAAGGCATGGAAGCCATTAATAGGAATTATAAGACAATTGAGATCGATATCAAATACATTAGACATTTTGCATTTCCTAAAAATAAAGACACATAGTAAATAGAATTTCGATTATATAGGTGTAGTTACACTTTGCTAGTGAATACTGAAAAATTCACTTATAAATAATACATAATGGATGGTGGTACGTACCTTATAAAATTGCAGGAAGATAAAAAATGATGCTTCAGAAATCCAGTTTATTTATAGTTTCATTTGATAATCTTGAAAACCTGTTAGAAGAAAAACATTAGTAATTACGTTACCTGATCATTTCTCGGATCTTTCTTCATAAGGCAGGTCTATTAAGTCATGGGTGTCAAGAACTAAATATATTTCGCCTTTTATGGGGAAATTAAACCTTCCAGTCTGGCGATCTCTCATTCAAAGTGTAAAATAAGAGAAATTTTGGCGATCTCGGATCTCAAGTTCCGTAACATATGAATTTTGATATTATTACTGATAAAGAACAATAGACTCTCCTCATTCATATCCTTTTTGGGTCCCATTTGTATTTTTTCTTATCGGTAAAGCTATATACAATAAGGAAAAGGCTTTATTAATTCCATATAGTGAGAAATAATTTAGCAGTGTTACAGAAATTATCTTGTGGAACATTCAACTATATATATATATATGAGTCTAAGACTCTATGCTCTGCATATTAATATCTCGATTTTTTACCATTTATCGCTCAAACCCCATAATCGCTTACAAAATACGATAAAATGATCAGAATTTTGTATTGAATTATAATATATATTATTAGCAAAAACCTTCATGATTAATCAATAAGTCCCAAGTTGTAAAGTTCTTTTCGGATAGTCTCTTGAGGGTCTTTGTCATCATACCAAATATAAAATAAATAAATATTGTTCTCTTCGCAAAGTTCTTTTTTGAGCTGATCTCGTGCTAACATTTTATTAAACCCTTCTGGGGTTCGATGAAAATGTCTAATATAATGTTTATGTTGTTTTCCTTGCACTTCTATCGCGAATCCAAATTCTGGATAATAAATATCAAGTTCTAATCCTGTTGGATGTTCCAATGTTTTAAGAAAATCGGGCCTGCGTATAGAAGATGGTGGTCCAAGATATTTGGAAACAATTCCATGACATATTTTTTCACGTTTATATTTACAACAGAATGGACACCATGAATTTTGATTTTTTACAATAGAAAAACGGGCATTCCATTCGTGACCTTTGCTACAACGCCATAATAATGGCAAATTAGCATTGATAAATTTTTTGGAAAGGCATTCTCCATTTCTATCACATGCAATTTTTCTAGTATCCTCAAGAGTAAGTCTAACTCCACCAAAGCCCGCACAATATGGACACCAGGTTTTTTTATATACTACACTAGTAAAACAAGCATTCCATTCATGTCCTATGGCACAACGCCATAATAATGGTGACTTGCCATTGATAAATTTATCTGAAAGGCATGATCCACCACGGACTTTGGCAATAATACAAGCATCATTCAAGGATAATTTTAATCGCATTGAGAATTGGTAAAATTTTATGTAAATGAATTTCTATTCAAATTCACACAAAAAATGAAAGGCATTATTCTAGAGTATAAAACCCTAAATACACTATAACTCGTTAAATCATATACACTTATAACATACTATATAAATAGGTCATATAAATGGATAATTTTAGCAGATTAATAGCTCATTCTGGTTCTAAATGCAGTGATGATGAATGGACTGAATATTGCCAGATGCCCCAAGTTCACACCAATGAAACTCCTGGTGAGTGGAAAGATTGAATTTGGTCTCGCTTGCAGTATTTCAGAGATAACGACCTTTTACCTACTGGAGGGAGGAAGAAATATCTTGAAGCTAGGAAGCTAGAAGAATGGTGGTCAGAACTAAATATGAGGTGGTGTAGTTACGCACCTGCAATTGGAATGGCGATCTGTTTCTCTTGTGATCAACTAGTATATATCGGAGAAATGACTAAAAATATGGGTAATAATTATCATCATATTGGAATGGAAAAGCATTGGGCCACTCATTGTACTGGAAATAAATATTGTGGTGTGAGTTATGAAGAATACCAAAAAATCACACAAAAACCTAAATCTGTGTGTAAATACGATGACAGTTATACATTACGTCGCTATGAATTGTGGATGACAAATGCAATTAGAAGGATCAAACGTGCAAGAGAAGTTGGAAAAAAGATCCAAGCATGTGTTAAAATACAAAGGAAGGTCGTAGAGTGGATTTATCACCCAGATGGATTGATGGTGACTGAACTCGCTTTGCATTATGCGTGCTTACAGAATATTCGAGCAGAAATGCGCCAAGTTAGCAATTTATAACATAT